CCGCGAGGCCGCGGGCGCCCCCGCGCGGCGCCGCGAACAAAGCCCGGGGCGCCGCCGCCATGCGGCTCCTGGGCCGCGGCCCCTGCGCCCTTCGGCGCCCGCTCCGGGGCCGCCGCTGCCCGCGGGCCGGGCCGGGCCCCGCCAGCCGCCCCTCCCAGCGCTGCCCCTCACCCGCGCCCCTCACCCGCGCTATTCACCCCGCCTTGAGAATTAATGAATTTAAGATGACGGCAGTATCCGCTGGGCTTCTCTTTCTACTCAGTTTCACTTTCATGTCATTTGCGCTATGGTTGCGAGTCATCCTGCAGGGATTTGTTTTTTTTTCCTCTCTCCTGTGCCGAATTAGTAACGTTCAGCATTTTGTATGAACGTGTTAGCATTTTGTATGAACGTGTTTGGTATCCAGAATAAAAGTAGTGATACAGAAGTTCACAAATTCTTAAAGAGAAGTAAATGAAATCTCTTTGGTTGGTCTTATGGATTGCTTTGTTTAAATAAATGAAGCATTTATGGCATAGGAAGAAAGATGAAAATCCTCCTTTAGTGTCTTAAATGTATGTCTCGTCCACAAAGGTTCCTTTGGGGGAAAAYATTAGCTAATATATTGTTTTAAACAGTTTTCTTATTTACTTATCTTAAAGTTAATAAGATTTTTGAAATGTAGGAGAAATAAATGGTCCYGAGTTCCTAAAGATGAGCAGTGGGTGGCTTCTGTGTGAAACTTGACGGTCACATTTAAAACGGGACCTATGATTTTTGTCTCAGAAGACAAAATGGGGGTGTCTTACAAAAATTCTGTTGAAACACAGTATTAYATTGGAACATATCTTAAAGCATATATTAATCTGCTTTAATCTCTGTTATAATATTAATCTCTTATATTACCCAAGAATTAATAAAATTTAGTCTTTACTTTTATTTAAAAACATATAATTCATTACTTAATTGCATAGGATAATTAACATTTAATTTAGGCCGTTGGCAGCTAAGCCTTGGGCATACGCTTGTTCAATGTCAACACGATATCTGTGTTTCTCCACAGTGTACTAGAATAGTCAAGGGAATGCAATCTGAACAACAAATTCAGGAGTTTTCAGCGCTTGATCGTGGTTCTGGTTTGGCTTGAGGCTTTTGTGAGTGTTTTTGTTTTTGAGAGGTCACATGAAGATTACTGCTTACTGAAAACTTTCCAGATTACGGTGTTTTGAAAGTATCCAGGTGTTTTATACATCCCAACGTGAAGGAGGGGAGAAATAACTAACAGAAATTAAGAATTTCCTGAC